CTGGGTCTGGGACCGGACCAGTTCTAGGATCTGGGGAATCAGTCAAGGATGAAATGTCAAAGAGTCAAAGAGTCTGTGAAGCTTCCAGAACCCTGTCCTCTCAGGAACTAAGATCAGACCAGGTTCTGGTCCCAGTCACTGGTCTGGACCAGACTCACACTTGGACTCTGGTATTTGGTCTTCTTTGGTCACATGACTTCCTGTTACTAGTCCTCCTGTGATCTGATTGGCTGGTGACACCTTTCACCTGCCACATGAGATTGAATATCAGGTGGAGAGTGAAGCATTGTGGGAAACCATCAGTGTGTCCCTGAACGCAGCTGTGTGAACAGGACTGGTTACGGAGAAGTTACGATGTGTTCGTGGACCGTCTGACAAAAGACTGTGATATGTTGAAGCCCAAGAGAGTGAAGGATTGTGGGATTGAGTCTGGGTCAAAGTTCACCGTGGACATGAGAGTCTGAAGACAAACGTGAGTTTGTGCTGTGAGAAACATGAGAGGAGGTCTTTACACACACACACACACACACACACACACACACCAAGTGGACCGTCACAGTCTTTAACAAGTGTGTCAACCACTCACTCTCCCAGACCAAACCTCATAGAGAAAATCAGAGATTTTAGTTCAGACCAAAGTCCATGGAGAAAATCAGAGATTTTAGTTCAGACCAAAGTCCATGGAGAAAATCAGAGATTTTAGTTCAGACCAAAGTCCATGGAGAAAATCAGAGATTTTAGTTCAGACCAAAGTCCATGGAGAAAATCAGAGATTTTAGTTCAGACCAAAGTCCATGGAGTTTTCTTGCACATTACATTTGACAGCGGTCAGGGATAAAAAGACAAAAGGACATTAGTTCAATGACAACAAGACAAACTAGCTGCTTGCTAACTTTTAGTATTGAAATGAAAACATTGATGAATGTGTGTTTTTGTATAGTTTATGTTAACGTAGGATTGATTGATTGATTGATTGATTTCCCCGAGGTTAGCTAACTGTAGCCACTAACTACTAGCTAACTGCACTACTCTTATCTAACTCTTGTCCAGATCTCCTCTGCTCAGAACTTTGTCTCTAAAGAGGTTGAAGCCTCTTTGAGCGACCACTAAGTCCAGTGACCGTTGTCCTTGTCTCCTCCTCCTCCTCC